TTATTATTTATATATATATATATATATATATATATATATATATATTATTTTTTTTTTTTTATTTTTTTTATTTTTTTTGAGTAAATTGAATTTCTGGATGAGACGGCGTTAGATAATAATTTAAAAGTTTACAAGTTATTCGTAAACGTTCATTGCGAGAAGATATTACTTTTATATTTTATCTGCAAAGTTGAGTAATATACGAATAAATATTAGATTCAAATTTGACATTATCACAAAGGGTGATCGCAAGGCTATTTACACTTTTTTTCAAAAAAAAATAATCTAAATGGTGACCTAAAAATAGAGATTTGCTTAGTGAGCCATGTCAAATATAGAGTATATTTAAACTCAACATAATCCACTAAGAAGTAGGTACTTGTAAATTCAAATTATACCAACTTAGAGTATTGCACATAATAATTAAATATAAAAATTTGTGGCTATATATGTCCTAATTGTTACGTATATGATTAATGAGTCATATATATTATCCATAATTGAATTATGTAATGAGTAAGCAATCTAGGTTTCTACATATATGATGGCTAGCTAGTGACTTTGCTGATGGAGTGCAAATCTAATGTGTAAACCACAAGTTATACATATACGTTATACTTTAATTAAAAAATATTGTATTGTAGCATGCTATTAGTCACAATTACTATCGAAAAAAATTGTAGCATAATAAATAATTTTTTCTTTTTAATCAAAGATTTGAAGTTTCAATTCTGAATATAAAATTATTTCTATTTCTAAATTGATATAATTCAAATTAGTTGAACTTCAACCTGATTAGTACGACGAACACATTTTCATGATGAGTTCATGTTGTGTTCGATTAATTATTTATTAGGTCTGCCCCTTTCGGTCCTTTTTTCTTCCTTATTTTTGTCAAATTTAAAATAAAGTTATCTTTTTATTTTTTTAATTATATGAAGTGGCAAAAGGAATTTTATCCTAGTTCAATAGTCAATATTATCTGTTGGCTAAGCTTACACAAATTTATTTAATCTCTCTCTATCCAAAAAGTTTTCCCACTACATTTTTTTATGATTTATTATCGTATAGATATATTTAAAATTTATGAGTTTAGAATTTTTAAAAATAACACATACAATTTTTAGATATCATTGTTATATTAATATCCACTTTGAAAAATAGATACGTGACAAGTTTATTCCAAAAAAGAAAATCTCCTGAGGGAAAACATAGGCACAAATCTTTGATAATATTGACCTCACCTGATTTTATATTTAATTTCTGTTTTATTCAGAAAAAAAAATCCTTTTTTTTTGGTGGTATAAGATGCGAGAAGGAACTAGAAACTATATGAAAAGACATTATAATTTCAATATGTTTGACTACATTAGATAATACCAAAGTAGTGCATTCATGAAGAAAAAAAAAGAAATACTCCTTAATTATAACATATTGTTCTTGACCACAATGATTAATATCACGAAAAAATATGGTGCATCGAATGGAATCATAACTTTTTTAGTCAGAGATCTTGAAGTTTTTGCCTTATATATAAAAAAATATTTAAAAAAGATAAATTTTCAGGTCTACTCAATTCAATATGACTCGCAACACAAAATATCTACATTCATTTTTTATTTTATTCGTATACAAAATTTAACTAGTATGTTACCCATGTATATTCAGTATATAATTACTATACAATCAAGAGCTCCCTATAAACAATGTCCAAATTAATTAATATACAGTTATTCACTATTAAAAATAAAGTTTTTCTATGTTATGATAAATGTTTTTTCACTCATTTTTTATTGAATCAATTGAAAACGCATAGTAAAAAATAAATTGTCCTTGAAATAGTGAGAAATTTTCTAATTTTTTTCTTATTTTTTCATTTCTCACTGCTTCAACCAAAATATCAATGTAACTAAGTTGAACAGGGACATCACTGGTGACTTCTTTTGTTTTAATTTTTGTGGCAACAATTTAACTCAAAACAAAAACAACTTTTAGAAATATATACTCATACTAAATTATCTTAGACATTTGTGCGGCAATGAATCGATTCATTAACAATAAAAAATAAATTCTAAAGTCAAATTCTTTTTAATATAAAGAACATAATATTTTTTTTTTGAAGTAAACTAAAATAAAAAATATGTTACATAAATTAAAACAGAAAACGGAACGCAAGGTAATAGCAGCCACGAGGCCCACAAAAAACAGAAAATGATGACAAAAATAAGGTACTACTGTTGAATATGCCAGTATATGAGCTCAAAAGAAATGGTCCAATTTTCCAACTTGCTACTACTTTTTTGAAAAGAAAATAACCCTTCCAAAAAGCAATTTTTATTATAATTTTTACTTTTAGAGATAAAAAATAATAATATTAATAATAACAAAAAGAATAACCTCTTTTTTCTAAGTTCAAAGCTTGGGAATATTGGAATAAGATATGATTTTGACTAAACTTCCATTAAGAATTTGATATATTCTGAATTGGTTCACTCATCTTTCTCCAAAATATTCTGAACTATAAAGAGAGGATCATTATGTCTCTTCAACTATATTAAAATTCAAACTATAGCTTAAAAAAGTATATAGCACCAAATCAATTAATATCCCTTTATGATATATCAACAATATACAAAATATTTTATGCTAATTCCTAGTCCTAGTGCTAAGTGCTAACTAGTGCCAAAGTCCAAGCTAAATAACCCATTAATCCAAGGTTTAAGGCCCATATAATTGGGTTTTGGGTGAGGGCTCAACTAGAACTCATTAGCCTGCCTAGGCCCATTTTGAACTTCAAATTTTAGTAATATATAATGGTATATATTCCACTATTGACATGATATGATATTGTCTGTTTTGAGTCGAAGTCTCACGAATTTCAACCAAAAAACCTGACACCATTAAGAGCATCTAACACCTTATTAATAGTTTTTTTCTTATTTTTCTTCTTGATTTATATCGAGACTTTAGTTTACGCAACCCGAATGCCGATCCGGTTTATTTTATGAATTAAACTTTCTATAGGGTGATAACAATTGTGTTATTTTTGACAGGAGTGTGATACCTACTCTATGGCCAACTGAGGAAATCCAAATGATAGAATTTGACACACTTTAAAGCCCATTTGTAAATTGACTAGTGGGCTTGCTTTACAAACACATATGGGCCTTTGTTGACATTGATAGGGCCTCAAAAGCCCAAAATAACTTCGAAACAAATCCGACAAGAAGAGTGTCGAACTATTTCATTAGCTCATGTTTGATCATAAATTTTTAAGTGTGAAACTTGAAATTTAAACTTTTGAGATTTTTGAAATTGTATTTGAACGTGTATTTTTACTTTTGAATTTTTTTTTTGAATGGAAGTCTAATCAAATTTCAGAGCCAAAATAAATAATTGAATATAAATTTTTCAAAATCTAATCTTAAATCTATGATCAAAATCCTAGCTTAGAGTGAGGGATATAAATAATTTGATCTTAATTCCATGATCAAAATTACTCATTTCTTTTTAATTCTTTAAGTTTAGTATATGATTATGAAGATTAAATGTATATACTATCATTCAAAATTGAGGGTTCTAAACAAAAATATATTTATCTTATTTTCTCTTATTTGCCTGTTATTAAGGAAGGCCTGTCTTTTTTATTTCAACAAGTATATATAATATAGTTTTTCAACTTCAAAAAAATAAATAGAGCACTTCCACTCCATTCTAACAAAATTAATTCATTTCTAAACGGAGTTGGCCACTTACTTTTCACATGATTCACTTATAATATGTATATTTTTATTTACAAAAATAAATTCTAAATTTGTCACTTTATCTTTGGAAGCATGTTTATAAAGTATCTCTTAAAAATACAAAAAATAATAATATGAATTATATGCTATTTTTAAAGTATAGTTTACTTCATCACTCTGTATGAGACAATTTACACTCTGATCACGACAAGATAACGGATCAACAGTTAGTGTGTGTGAGAGAGAGATAGAATATACCAAAAATCTTTTTTTTTTTTGGGTTGACACAGATATTTATAATATGTTATCATCAATTTTTTCCCTGAAATTTATGAAGAAAACAAAGAAATGTGAGGTTAATTAATCTGGATCTTTCTCGATCTGATTATTGTTTAGGTATTTTCAGAACGAATCTACTTTCTAGGTGACCTAATTAGGGTTTATTTTCAGCCAGAGTACTTGTTTTGCTCGACCCGACTTGAATGTAAATGGGGTTTTATTTGTAAAGCTGAAGCTGAATTGAACAGGGATTTTCTAAAAAAATTGGATTTTGATGAGATGGGGTTTTCTTGAAAAGGGGTTTTATTTAGTTTCTGAAGCTGAATTGGGTAGAAATTTTGTAAAATGTTTGGATTTTTATGAGATGGGGTTGTTGAAGATGAGCTTTTTGCAGTGAAGAGTAAGTTTGGGTATAAGCAGAGTATAAATTTAAAGGTGAGATTTTTTTTGTTTTTTTTTTTAATTATATAGTTTCTTTGTTTCCATTTTTGTTTTGTGAGATCAGTGAAATTATGCATCATGAATTTTCAATTATTTGCTATATAAAGCTTTCTTTGTTCTTTTGAGTGTACTTTATTTAGTTTACTTGATATAGAGAATTTGATATGGTCAGCAACATTTACTTTCTTGTTTATCTTTATGTAGAAAGCTTCTATCTTTTGTCATAATTGATCCACTTTGATTACAATAACATACCTTGGGTGAAGGGGGAGTAGTGTGTGCAGACCTTAATCCTACCTTGGGAGGTATAGAGAGGTTATTTTCGATAGACTCTCGGCTCAAAATGGTCCAATTTGATTCAGCAGAAACAGAACTACTAAAGAAAAAATGTTGTTGGAATTGGAAATTATTCCTTGAGTTAATGGAAGTGTTGAAGTGTGACATTAATCAATAAGGTGTCTTTGAGGAAAGAACTTTTAACAATCTTGCTGGTATTGAATTGATTGAACTACCTTATCTACATGCTAAAGTTGTTAAAGAGGAGACAGTTTTATTAGTTTAGGTCTGCAATAGGTTGTGCTCTGCTATGAGGGAAATCTATTAGTCGGGACTGACTTTAAGGGTTGTTATTTGCAAATTATATATTCCAGTTCAAACACAATTGCTCATTTGGATAAGCATATAGATGATGTGTAGTGCTTAGGCGCATTTCAAACTATTGTGAGCAAAGTCGGGCTTGTGAAGCATGGTAGGCTTCAGAATTAGGGAGGTTGCGGTGCAAAGTTTTCGACCAACCAGTAAAATTTAGTTCGTTTGAGTTGGATTGTTTATCTAGAACTTCAGTTTGCTCGCAAATTTTTGTCATCAGGTTGTATGCACATTTTTTTTTGGAGTTTATAAGTGATTAATATTTTTGTAACAGAATACTGTATATCATTTATTTCCTAAAAGATTATGCGTAAAATAGTTTCCTAACTTACTATGGCATAATTTCAGGAATATGGCAACTCCAGTTGAGCCACCAAATGGGATAAGGTCCCCAGGGAAACATTACTATTCTATGTGGCAATCCCTTTTTGAAATTGATACTAAATATGTACCTATTAAGCCTATTGGGCGAGGGGCATATGGAATTGTTTGTTCTTCTGTTAACAGGGAATCCAATGAGAAGGTTGCAATCAAGAAAATAAACAATGCTTTTGAGAATCGTGTTGATGCTCTCAGGACATTGCGTGAACTAAAGCTCCTTCGCCATCTAAGACATGAAAATGTGATTGCTCTGAAAGATGTTATGATGCCAATCCATAGGCGAAGTTTCAAAGATGTTTATCTGGTATATGAACTAATGGATACAGATTTACATCAAATAGTCAAATCCTCTCAAACACTCACGAATGATCATTGCCAGTATTTCCTATTCCAGGTACTTCCGATGGAGAGCGCTATCTATGCTCACAAACAATTGTATGATAGTTAGCAGCTCCATTATGCAGTTGTCTCTTTGGTTCTGTTTTTTTTTTAAAAAAAAAGAAAACTAAATTTGACTACTCTCTTTCTCTCTTAAACATAAATTCCTGTTCTAACCTCTATGCTTGAAGGAAATATTCTTTCATCGATCATCAACGTGATTGTCTTCTCCCTACAATTATAGTGAGGTATACCATAACGTGGGTACAATTCATAGACCTTGACTTTTGTGTTCTGACTTGCACAATAGTGATACATTTTAAGCTTCAGTCATCCAAGGAAGGTGGTGGTTTTAGTAGGAGTATATTAATATGGTTACTGCTGTGCATCCAAGGGTATGGCCTAGTGGTCAATGAAGTGCGAGAAGAACCATGAGGTCTTAGGTTCAAATCTAAGCAGAGACAAAAACACTAGTGCTTATTTCAGGTGCTGGTGGGAGGTAGCATGTATCCCGTGGAATTAATACTTGTTAGTGATGCGAGCCAAAATCTATTCAATGGATGCTATTTGGCTGCCTCCTGATCTTCTTTCCTTTGTTTATCTTTTATGATCTTCTGTACTTAATAGCTCTACCATCAAATCAGTTGCATAAATTACCAAGTGGCCTTTAAGATTAGTAGAAGAGAGCGCCAACATCTTTTCTGTTTTTATGTGAATATTGTGCGTTTTTATGTTCTAAATCATTTGGTCAGTGAATGTTGTCCATGTAAATGTCAATCATGGAGGCGCTATCTTCTCTGCTTGGAAATCCAATGTCAATATCATAGTAACTTAGTGATGCGCATTTTGTCTTAAATAAAATTTTGATTCTATGAAGGCTGTCTACTGAAGAAGGGGAAAGATAACTTCCATCCATTGCTAGTTAGGTGTATGTTTTGTTAGATTGTGGTCATCCTAGTTTTTAAGTTGTTTTCAACATCTGTAAAGGTGCATCTATCTTGTTTTTAAGTAAGCTGGTTGTTGTCTAGGTTCATTAATAGGCATTTATGTACATTACATGTTCTTTGTGCTCCTTACCAAAATGATTTAAAAAATTACAGTATATGTTGTTTCAATGTCCATGTTCAAGCACAATAGAAGCTCAAGATTTACATAGCATCTATGTATTTACGAAGTATGCTCATTTCCTACTGTTTTCATTCAACAGTGGAGCCGCTGTGAAAAATGATTCTGTACTATTCTCCTTCCTGTTTACTATATATTTATGAAACTTTGTCAAGTGATAAAGTGAAAAATATCGAAATAACACAAAGTAGGCTAACTTCCTCAATTCATTCAACCATAGAATGATATATAGCAATAATTGCCAGCTGAAGGGGGATAAAGCTTGAACAAGAATGAAGTATGACCCATTCTGCCATCCCTTTTTTGACTTAGTCTTTTCAATATTCCGAACGACAAATTGACTTGATAGTTGATACCATGCTTTATATTCAGTATAACAGCGTTAGTAAAAATTAGCCTGGAGAGTACCTTTTTTTGCAGATTATGAACCGATCTGATTAAACTTATGCATAGAACATGGTTCTCATGTTTAATCTTGATATTGCGTGAGCAGGCTTTATAACTTTTTTCCTGGAAGGTTTTGCATTATTACTGAAATTTAAGCAGATATCTGCAGTTAGTGCAAGAGATAATGCTTTATACAGGTTCTGGTCTCATTTAGTCTCTACTTTGGTGGAATAGGCAATATCAAATCATCCTTCGATAGGAAGTAGTAGGAAGCGGAATCATGTTTGTGATCACACATATATAGCTGCTGTGAGTTAAGAGTCTACTTCAATACATAAAATTGGCTCTAGTTGCTAAACTAGCACTTCCTTATTAAAGAATAATAATGTAACAAGAACTAGACATTTGCCCAGATTAGTTGGGTTGACTATATCATATTATTGTTAGATAAATCAAAAATCATTCTGGATCAAACCCTTTCCATTTGGATGAGATTGTTTTGAGAACTGGTGCTGAACCTGGATGCTATGGTTGATTATGTCACTAATGAATATTTTTAATAATATAAAACGAAATACTATAGTATGCACTAAATTGTCTTTGTCATATGAGACCTTCTCAATATCTTTATTGAATTTGATAAATGGCTGCATTCAGACACTACTTATATCAACATAAGCCTAGATATGTAACTAGTGGTTGTGTATCAGATTATTACTATCTGCTAAAACAGGAGGTTATGACATGTTTTCTGCTCGCTACAAGCCCTTCAAACTCTTTGATACTTACGTTCTACTCCTTTCTAGTTTCTACCCCCTGCATGTCATCCTTTCCTTCCTCAAAATACCTACTCTCTCCATCGGATAGCAAGCTAAGTATTATGGAACAACTTGCACTTTGAATCTTGATGTTAGGTTCACCAAAAGAAGTATATTTTATTTTCAATGAAGTCTAGAAGTTGTATATTTGGAAATCACTTTTTCCATTCTTATGTAAACCAATCCATTGTACAGCTTAATTCTTATAAAAGTATATTGATGCACATTTTGTTTCGGGAATTTAGTTGTCTTTCTCATTGTATATGCCTGGAAGATTATTTCACTTGTTGTGGTCTTGTGGATGGTAAAAAGAATAAACGAAATTTCGAATTTACATCTTATCTGAAGTGATATGCATCTTGCAGCATCTTTTTTCAATACCGGAAAGAATTAGTTCCTTAGTAAAATGTCTCTGTGAAGAACATCGTGGAACTATGAACCTATATGCAGACATACCTTTTCCTTTTCTTGCTTTGGGTTAAAATATGTGTGAAATCTGTGTGACAGCATGAACTTACAACTTGAATCAATTCAGCCTATAGTATCTCTCTGTTTTTACGATTATCCTAATATTTCCATTTTCTTTCTAAATGAAATGAAATTATGATAGTTGGCAATCAATTTAAGAATTCGTAAAGTTGTTATCTTGATGAGCTTTTATTTTCAGCTTGTGCTAGTTTTTCAGATGCCCATGTCCTCATCCAGGTCAAAATTAAGCCACCACTTTAAAAATCGGCATATTATCCGTGTTTCCCAGTTTTTCTCTTCAAGACAAGACTGTGCTAAAGTGTTGTGTAGCTTCACTTTAGGAGTTTTTCCTCCTTCACACCTTCAAGAAGTCAAGAGACTCTCATAACTCAAGTTGGATAACTTTCAAACAGTTCAAAGGAAAATCTTTCGGCAATTTCATTTATTGAGCGGTCTTTCCTCCTTTTTTGTTTGTCTCGTTTAAAATCGGATTCTGGCTCTTCAATCGACGATCTACTGCTCCCTCTTAATAGCAGATGCCCATGCTTTGATTCGAAAGCCCTAGCCATCCCCAGGTATTCAGTGTCTGGTTCGATAGGACCAGGAAGAGAGGACTCTTTTTTTTCCTCCTCCCTTCAGTCCAGTTTGAACCCGTCCCAACAACGAACACCTTCCTACTGCAAGGTGAGGCTCAATAATGCTGCCCCAACTGTGTCGGATCCTCCAAAATGCATTAGTTTGGAGGATCCGACATGCACCTGTTGGCATTTTTGAAGAGTCCAAGAAACATCCTCCTACATTGATCATGATTTCCTTGTTGGTTGATCCATCAACTCGTGCAAATTTGTCTAATCCATTTTCTAGAATGCTGTCTTTGCCCCTTTTCCAAAATCCACCATTAACAAGCTTGGGACCTCGGTTTAGTTGGTTATGGTTTTCCCGTGTCTAATTTGGTTTCTGTTTATAGAATACAATTTTGCTAGTTATCCAGAAGTGTGACACATCTTTATGGGAAATGGCTTTACCCTTCATATTTTGTCCCCGCACGCCTAAAATGTCATGTAATGAACATCATTATCTGATGATGCCTAAACATACTGTGTAATGGACATCGTCATCTGATGGTGATTCCTAGACTAAGGATGCTTTCCTTTTTCTTTAAAAATCACATAAAGGAGGAATGCTCAAACTGCAACTTCTAAGAACTGAAAAAAGGAGCTCAAAAGATAATAAAACTAACAGAAGTGAGATATCTAATTTGCATGCACTGTACAGACTTGCTGATTTAACTGTTTTCACTGCTGAAGCCGATCTGATTTGTGTGCAGTTGCTTCGAGGTCTAAAGTATCTCCATTCGGCGAATATTCTTCATCGTGACTTGAAGCCCGGGAACCTGCTCATCAACGCTAACTGTGATCTGAAAATATGTGATTTCGGGCTTGCACGTACAAGCAGTGGCAAGGACCAGTTTATGACTGAGTATGTTGTTACACGCTGGTACAGGGCGCCGGAACTTCTCCTTTGCTGTGACAACTACGGAACATCCATTGATGTATGGTCTGTTGGTTGCATTTTTGCGGAGCTCTTAGGGAGGAAACCTGTCTTTCCAGGTACGGAATGCCTGAACCAACTGAAATTGATTATCAACATCCTTGGTAGCCAAAGGGAAGAAGATTTAGAATTTATCGACAATCCAAAGGCAAGGAAGTACATCAAATCACTTCCATATTCTCCTGGAACACCATTTTCCCGCCTCTATCCCCAAGCTCATCCATTGGCGATTGATCTCCTGCAGAGGATGCTTGTGTTTGACCCTTCCAAAAGAATTAGTGTTATGGAAGCACTTCAACACCCATACATGTCTCCTTTGTATGATCCGAACACTGATCCCCCAGCGCAGGTTCCTATCAACCTTGACATAGACGAGGACTTGGGAGAAGAGACGATAAGGGACATGATGTGGACGGAAATACTTCATTACCATCCTGAAGCTGCCACAGCTGCTATGGAAGAAGTTATGTGAGCTTTATGTTAGAGCTTTTTGTAACTTATCTTTTTCCCCTGCTTTCAATAAATATCGAGTCTTGATTCATCGACAGTTTGAGCTGCGATGCATAAAAAGAACTGCTCAACTACATAAGCTTGAACTTTTTGAGCATGTACTTCTTCTTAATCTGTATATAGGTGTGGTTTTGTACGTCTAATTAAGGACCTTTACTCTTCATGAATGTACTGAAAGTTTAATTGTTGTACCACTGCTTGTAATGTCTATCGGAAACTGTATCTCTACTTTTACATCGTAGAGGGTAAGGCTACGTATAGGCCACCCTTCTCAGATTTTATTTGTAGAATTACACTAGATATGTTATTGATACTGACTGCTTGTGATGATTGTTCATGTTTTCTAGTGGTAACAATCTAAGATGAGGTTTATGCAATATGCTATATGAAGCCACTAAGCATCTTGAAAAAGGAAATTAAAGTTAAAAACGCCGTATGGTAGATGGTAACCGTCTTGTAATGGTATGTGGATAAATAATTCGATCAATGGGGTATCGTTGATCGGAGTATTTAGTCTAGATGCATACGGTATTCCATATGTCTCATGCTACTCGAGACAGAAAATAAGATATATAATCTGCTGCTACGATTGAACTATGTTGATATAGTTAAATGTTTTTACATTAACTTGTAAAAGTAAATTCCATTTTCCTTCTCAAATAATTGAACACCAACCAAGTGATTACTTAATCATGTATTATTAAGTCCAAAAACCAAGTACAATACTAAAAGAAACTATATTCCAAATCTAAAGAAATGCTCCAAGTGATTGCTTCTTGGTCTTAGTCCCATGTTAAAAATTAAACAAAGGTCCATACCATCCCCACATGGAAATTAAGTGTAGAATTTCCATACATACTCACACGGTTCGGTATTCATATCAAAACTCGATTAATTTTGATTTGTGACTTGTAGGGCTCGATCATTTCTAAGTGTGACACTTTTAATATTAAATTTTTTTTTATTTTTAAAGCTCGAAGTTGAGATTCCTAATTAAATACGGAGAAATTTCAATCATTTCGTTACGATCCCTGTCGGTTAGTTAGTGTAGAATTATTGGGTCCATATTGCATGATTAATTGAGTGAATTTGGGTTTTAATATTGTCTAATTAGCCCCACATGTTCCCCATCAAACCACACCTATAACATGTAGATGAATAAAATTATCCTGATTTTGCGGTCTATATATATATTCACCAATTTTCTTTAACTTACTTTTGCCTCATCAGTCCATGTGCATATTAAAAAAATATTTTATACTATTGTTTTACGTGTTTTTGAAGTGATTTTTTTTTAGGTTAGAGATCGATAAGAGTATATACTTATAACTTATGAAAATATATTAATTCTGTTAATTTTTTTTAAAAATTTTCAATATTAATTTTGATAGTTTTTTTTTTCCTATTTTCCATCCTACGTCTAGAGTCCACATTGAAATTTCGATTATATTTGATATATTATCTAGCTAGGATTTATAAGTGAAGAATGGGTTGACATTGATGAAACCAGTGTAATAATAACGAAATTTTAATGTAACTTTTGTTGACAAATTGAATTGACTGACCGTACAATCAACTTGTCAAGTTTGTCACGTGTATACACATGTTAGTTAATTATTTTTCTAAATTTTCTATTTCCCTTCATTTTGTTTGAACGAAATTCATCTTGAAAAATATTTCAATCTACATCATTATTAATTTTGAAATTTAAATTGTGAAACATGTGTAACTTTAAAAGTTAAACATTCACTCAATCATCTATTCGAACTCTTTTGAAAAAATGATCTATTTTTTAAGATTCTTTTGATAATTTAAATTGATAAAAAATATTATCGATCGTATATGAGCTTAGGTAATACGTCGAAGAAAAAATTGACGTTACTTTAGACTTTAGTATTAGAATATTCTTAAATTGTAATGTTTGTGAGATTTTTCAAATATTCTCCATATAATAGTAGGTGAAATTATGTATAGCTAGCAATGGTTGCTGTATATTAATTCATTGAATTTAGTCCTATTAAGACATGTCCTTATTATTTTAAAAAAATCAATTTGTTCACGCACAATGACGGCTCCAGACAGACAAAAATACTAAAGTATATTATCATAAACAAAAAAGTAAAAAAAAAAGTCTAAATTTTTGCCTGATAGAATTAAGGATCAAATTGATCTATTAATTGAGAGGGAAGCTTCCTAGCTAAAAGTTTGAGTTAATGGGAAGGGCTTGTAAAAATATCACTATTTGAGTAAAGTTTTTTGTAAAAAGGAAAAATTAAAAAAAAAGTTAGTGTATAGATGTCGATAGAAATATTGAAAATATATTTAAATTTAACGCAAATTATTAGTTTTCTTTTCAAAATATTGACATTTTTATATATATTCAACTACTTAGGGCCCGTTTGGATGGGCTTAATAAAAACAGCTTTAAAAAAGTACTTTTAAAAGTGCTGAAACTTATTTTTAAAATAATCAGTTATGCGTTTGGATAAAAGTGCTGAAGTTGTTATGTCAAACGTGAAAAGGAAAAAATGGAAGAAAGAAATGTTAGGGTTATATGGGTAATTTGGAGATTGTACAAAAATAGTAAGCACAAAAAGATAAAAATGTGGTCAACTTAAAACAGCTTATAAGCTAAAAAGAAAAGCACCCCTACCCCAGCTTTTAACTTTTGGCTTAAAATAAGTTTTTTTTAGCTTAAAATAAGCTGTTTTGAGTATTGCCAAACAGCTAAATAAGTCAAAAACCAGCTTTTAAGTCAGTTTGACCAGCTTTTAAGCTGAGCCAAACAGGCTCTTAA